ATTGTATCGCTGGTCAGTTAATGACGAAGTAGTTGAGCGAAATAAGTTTATTTGTTACTGCCGTAACTTTTGTATTTTTTGGATTCGTTGTCGAGCTTGAATGCCCGCTTAGGTAGTTTCTGTAGTCTTGTTTGCAGTTTTACCGAACTCTTTATACAAGGACATAGATACGCAGATAATAGAGATCAACCGCTGTTTATTTTCTGGCCGGTTTTATGTTCAGAAGCAGAGGTGGAAGTGAGAGCATATGCTATATCATTGTCTATGCCCTGTCGGTACGAAACTGCTGATCATGGTCGCTTTAACAATGTATTTTAGGTTGTTACGTTGGCAGGAGGTGTCGGACTCCGCCATCTTTTTACCAGAAAGAACAGTCGGAGTGTATTGACCGTTGCGAGAGTGCGCCGTCCTCATTCGACATACCTATGAACATCGCCGAGTCGCTTGTTGCCCCAACCACGGCTGATAACGTAACCGTCGAAGGTCGGCCGACAAGCCAGACGGTGATGGGTTCGTATTCGGCAAGCAGTCCGGTTTCTGAACTTTCCAAAATCGAGCCGTTCATTAGCAGTTCCGCGTGTGAGAGCAAGGTAGATTGCGAGATCTGCGGCAAGGTGTTCAGCAAGATTGGCTTGTTGAGACTGCATATGAACGTGCACATATTCGAACGATCGAGCCGACGGTACGACTTCAAGTGTTCGAGTTGCAACTGCGGCTTTCGATCGCGAAGTCTTCTACAGAAGCATATTTCCAACGCTCATCCGAGACACGAAAAAGAGGATGGCGCGAGTGCAACAGAAAGCGGCGGAGATGTGACAGCCGTCGCCTCGTCGTCTCATTCCGATTCGTCGACGGCCAGTTCTCTGAACCCTCGCCCATTCGAATGCGTCGACTGCAGCATCGCGTTCCGCATTCACGGCCATTTGGCGAAACATCTTCGGTCGAAGCTGCATATCATGAAGTTGGAGTGCCTCGGCAAAATACCGATCGGCACATTCGCTCGTCTGGAAGAGGCCGGCGTGCGGTTCTTTCTCGAAATCGACACCAGTGACTGCCAGAATTCGCTGAAGAGTTTGCTGTTGTTGAACGAAAAGTTGGACGCTTCGTCGTCTTCGTCACCCAGAACAAGCGACGCTTTGTCTGCGGACAGCTATGCGTCCTCCGCATTAAAAGATGGATCGACTCAGACGAAAGACAACCTTAAAAATGCCGAAGTTGACATGATTGACCTGAACTCGCAGAGTGACGCCATCTCTGCCTGCGATGCGGTCATGG